TATTTATATGCTTTTGGCTAGATCACATGCTAATTGTCTCATTTTTTATTGGTCAGATCATATGCTTTCTGGAAAATCAGCCAAAAATTTGGAAAAATTTGGCCAAAGTCGAAAAATTTGAAAATATCAAGATTAGGCCCAAAAATTTGGAAAATTTTGGAAAAATTTATTTCCAAAATTTTCCGGGTCCCTGCTTGGGACTTCCCAAATGGGTTTTCGGTTATTCCGGTTTCTCGGCTTTATTGCGCCATTGCTTCTATTACTAGATGGCATGACTGAAGTTACAGATTTATCTAAGATCCAACCGATAATCATAACCGTCAACCATAACACAAGCCTATTTTTTAAAATTTATCGTCTGTGGGATTCGAACTCTAAACCTGCTACTTAGAGAGGGTGACAACTAGACTACTACACTAAGTCACCACACCTTTGAATTCATATATATTGTTATATATATGTAATTATTTATAGTAAGTAAATTTTTAAATACTGTAATTTACTTAATTTTATTCAAGTTTTTAGTTGCACTAATAAATCTCTATTATAAAATGATGTAATTATTAAAGTGATCAGTTAATATATCAGTTAATAGATCAGTTATTTTGTTGGATATTAATTTATACAATTCTAATATTTTTTTTTTTTTTTTTTTTAAGAAAAAAAACGCATTTAAGTGTGCTTTATTTTTATTCAATTATTTGTATAAATTACATTTGCCTGCATGGGATTTTTGTCCCATCCGGCGAGTAATTTTGCCTAGTAGTTTAATTTCAAATTTTAATTTGATTCTAATTATGTCTGCTATTGCATTTTGAGGGATAGTATTTCCATCTTATTTAGCTTGCATGTACTAACACCATATTTCGTAGATGCAGAAAATGTATAACTATGTTGCTGCTATTCTTTTTTATGGTTCTTGATGTTGGTTGCTTGAAAAATGTCCTCAAGTGTATAAGGTATTGTCTCATCTTCTGCTGTTTTGAGGGCTGCATATGCCGTTTCCCAGATAAAGCAAAGCACAGATACAATTGCTAACTATTTGTGCCAAAAATCTGATCTATATTGCAATATGTTAAAACATATCAGAAGCATATCGGGTAAAAAATAAATATTAGGATACCCAATATTTATCTGATATTTATTTTTTACCTGATATGCTTCTGATATTTTTTTGACATGTTGCCAATATAGTTAGCAATCATTAGCTATCGGGTATCTGATATTTATAGATATTTATGCTTTTGACCTGTGAAGTGTTTCGGGTTTGAGTGTAATGTGGGCAATTTGGGCAGTCGTTAGGGTCATTTGGAGCGATATGAGCTAGACTATATCCGAGAGGTAGAGCTCTATGCATTAGTCGCCAGAACGTATCCTTTTTTTTATTCATGCTCCATTCAAGTTTAATCCATTTAAATCTAATGTTGTTTTGTGTTAAGTCATGTTGGGGCTTGGTTGTTCGTATAGACTCTTTAGGGCCTTCTAAACTGAGTAATATTGACTTTCTGATGACTCTATTCTTATCTCCTCTGGCTTCCAAGGCCAGGTTCCATTTACTTCAATTCTGCCCTTGAATTTTCCCCAAGCTGTTTTGTAGGGCTTCCATCTTTCTGGCCAACCCTTCTTTTTGCATGGGTTTTGGTTTATTGCATTTTTTATTATTATCACTCTTTTATATAGGATTTCTTCTGAAATTGTTTTCCTTTCTAGTCTTGTCTAAAGCAATTTACCGGATAGGAGTTTCAACCAAATCGATAGCAGCCTGGCATCAAGCATGTCTTTGAAAATCGGGGCATTCAGACCGCCTTTCTTGTATTCAAGTTAGAATGTCAAGTATTGAGAAAGCATTTGTGAGTTATTTTTGATCCATTTTTCAATAAGGGAGTCTATTTCCTTGAGTTGTTTTCTTGATGGAGGAAGAAGGTATGCAAGGTACCATATTTTTGAGATCAAAAGTGTTTTCACTGCAAGAATCTTTCTCTTAAATGAAAGATTCCTCTTAGAGAATTCTTCTATTTTTCTTTTGATTTTTTTCGTTATCTCTTGCCAGAGAGTATTGCAAGAGTTTCCCTTAATGTCTATGTGAAAACCCAGAATTGTGAAGTGCTCTTGATCATAACTGGAGCTTTAAAGTCATGTTGTTTTGGGAGCTCTATTCTGCTAGCATTGCTTGTGATTGGAATGAGGGTTGATTTAGCCTTATTGATAACTATGTTTGAGGCTTTTTCATAAATGTCTAGCATTTTCAATAGAGTTATCCAGTTTGTAGGGGAGCCAATCCCGACTAAAAGGTCATCTGTATATGCGGCAATTTTAAAGTTGCCACCATTATCTGAGATGCCATTATGTTTTGGGAGATGTATTTTATCAGTGGATTGATGGCTAAAACATAGAGGAGAAGAGAGAGCGGATCTCCTTGCCTTACTCCCTCTCAACTTTTATTGGTTCTGAGATCTGGCCTGCATCAACTATATGTGCTGTTTGATCAGAGAACAGGTGCTTATGATTCTCATCTTCTCAAGGATGATTTGTATAAAGTTGTGGTTTATCCTGTCAAAGGCTTTTTTGTTAGTCAAGTAAAAGGAGCCAGTGTTGTTTTGACTAGTCTTCCTAATTTCTAAGGGTCGTTATTGTGTCTAGGGCTGAGTCTATGATGGACCTTTTGGCAATAAAAGCCTGTTGTGCAGGGCCTATTATGTTGTCACAGATTGGATTAATATGGTTTGCTAAAATTTTTATAAAAATTTTTACATCTGCATTGACGAGTGAGATTGGCCTCCAATTGTTTATACTTTCTAAGTCAGTGTTCTTTTTTGGTATTAGGTAATCAAACTTTTGGTCCATGATCTTGGGATCATGCCTGTGTCAAGTACTTTATTGAATATTTTTACTAATATGGGTGTAACAAACTCCTGTGTATTTTTATAGAATTCGTATGTGATGCCGTCAGAGCCTGGTGCCTTATTATTTGGGAGTTTGTTAATTGTCTGATTAATCTCCTCCACCGTAATAGGTTCAATTAACATAGAGTTTTGTTCTGCAGAAACCTGCCCCAAGTTCTCTGTAAGTTGAAGAACTGCCTCCTTGTCTATCTCCTTGCTCTTGTATATTTTCTGGTAAAGTCTTTAATGAATTTAAGAGTTTGCGTATGTGAGTTATTGCTCAAAATGTTTGGGATCCTGTATTTTGGAACAACATGTGGAAGAGTGTTTTTTCTTGTATAGAGCAAAGTATTTTGGCAATTTTTCTCTTCTTTGATCCATTTGGTGTTGGATCTGATTCGCCACCTTTCTGAGAGGAGGGTTAGCTCATTTTGTAGTTCAAGACTAAGGTTTTCCATTACTAGTTTAAGGCAGTGTTATACATGGGACAATTTTGAACAATTTTGAACATTTTTTCAAATTAAAATTACTCAAAATTTTATTAAGATAATTTTTTCACCAATGAGTCCAGCACCTAAAAAAATATATAATTATATATTTTTTTAAAGAACTTTATTAATTAGTTAAACATGGGACATAGGCTTGGACAATTTTGAACAATCTTGGACGTTGGATATTTTACATAGTGTGGGCACGTCCCATGTACAACACTGGTTTAAGGTCTGTTAGGTTAGGGTTTTGGGCCATTTTGTTATTCAGGGCACAAAGTCTTTTATAAATTTTCTAACGATTGAATTGTGCATTTGCATAGATCTCAATTAGAAGTATTTTGTATGTTGAGAAGCTCCTCTATGATGTTTGTTTTTAGTTTTGGGATATTCCAGTATCTCCTGTTGAATCTCCACTGGGACTGTTGGAAATGAGATAATTTTAGGCTGAATTCTGTTTCTACTAGGAGATGATCCGAATTTCCAAACCGGGTAAGTGTGTTTTTGCACAGATGGCTAGTTTGCCTCAATGAATATGTAGTCTAATTATGTTGCCATCTTTTGCCCATTTTTGGGTTGATTGATAGAATATGAAAAAGGGATTTTCATTAGAGGATAATGATGTGTCTGTATAATCAGTTAAGAGAGATTGCACTCTTTCTCCTGAGCGGTCAGATTGTTGTGAAGCATTGCTGATTCTATCATTTTGAGGGTTTGGGTTTATATTGAAATCTCCAGCTATGATGCATATTTTGTCCTCCACTGCAGCTGGAGACCAGTTATTGAAAACTGGAGCCTATCCTCATGCGTGGGAGGGGCATAAATGTTTGTGATATATAATGATTGCTATTTGATTACTGTGGAGACCAATAGAATGCGACCATCCTGAGATTCTTTGATTTTCATAAGTTCTATATTTCTTTTACCTGCTAGTATCACAGTTTTTGAGGACTATACTGAGCTAAAGTTCTATTGTTGTGCCAGAAAGTTCCTTGTGGAGGTATCTTTAAGGTTGGTTTTTTGAAGCATAAGAGTTTTCTGAGCCTTAAGCCTGTTGTTCAGGCCTTTTACATTGAGTGTAGTGATTTTAAACATGAGAAAAGGTAAGTGTTTGTGGCTACACTAAGAGGGGAAGTTTTTAGTGTTGAGCTTTGGGCTTGGGTGTACCCTGATGGGTATATTCCAAGGCCTTTTGATTTTGTCCTGGATGAAGGAGATTCCCATCACTCTCAGTGCTTCTTTCCTTGTTCTTGTTTTTGGGTTTCCTGTAAGAAACAACTATAAAAGGTGTTTTCTGTTCTTTGTCATCTATAACACTTGGCCTTTCATGCCTTAATGACGGTTCTGTTAATAGAGCATCTGGCATAGGTGTGTCTGATTCTTTAACTGGTGAAACGATTTCTATGCTTTGTAAGGCTACATTTGTTTTGTTTATGTTCTGACTTTTGGATGTATCTTCTTCTTTTGTGTCTAGTGTTTTTTTAGTGTAGGGGTTGTCTGGACTAAACTCTAATTCTGAGGTGGGCATTTTGTGAGCTGTTAATTCCTTTTTTTGAAGTTTAGCTTCTCTTAATAGCTGTCTGGCTTCTACCGAAGCCTTGAATTCACTACAATCTTTTTTAATATGGCCTTCCCTTTTGCAGTAGTAGTATACTTTGGGGGCTTCTTTCCATTCTGTTGTTACTTTGTGATCGCCCACATGTGTGCTTTTTGGAATTCTAGATTGTAGATCTGGATTATCCGATTATCCGATGTTTCGAAGGTGATGAGCCACTGGTCTGTGCAGATTTTGGTTATTTCGAACAAGGGTGGCTTTATTGTGGCAATTTGGCCAACATCTTGGAAGGCCTCAAGGATGAGTGTGTTCTGGAGCTTTATAGTAAGAAAAGAGCATTTAAGGTTTACTGGGATGTAACCGAAAAAAGTTTGTTGAAATAAAGAAATTTCTTCAAAAGCATATTTCTGCACTTTTTTCTTGCTTTTGAAGACTAATTCCAAGGATATTCTTTTTCCTCTAAATGAGTGGCTCTTTGCCACCACAAGATCCCCGCTAAGTTTAAGTGACAGAGTTGTGATTATGTCATTGGTTGAGATGTTGTAAAGATTATATATATTGATAATTAATGCGTTTTTATTCTTTGAAAGAATTTTGCTTCTAGTTGTTTGGTTTGTAAAGCTTGCATTTCCTCCTTTAAGCTTCGAAAAGAGGTCTGACCACTGCCTCTGTTTGCCTTCTCTACCATTAAGTTTAAGGATATTTATGTAACATTGAGCTGGGTCCGGCAGAGTTTTATCTTGCTTGTCATTTGTTTGGCCTACAGATTTGTCTAATTGGATATTTGTTATGTAACTTGCATGTTCTTTGTTGTTTCCTTGGGTCATGTTTTCCTGGTTCATGTGATTTTCTGTGTTTACTTGTGTTTGTTGCATGTTGAGTTGGTGTTCTTTTCCGGGTTTCTTATCAATATCATTTGCCATATGACTTGCGTGTTCTTTGTTGTTTCCTTGGGTCACGTTTTCCTGGTTCATGTGATTTTCTGTGTTTACTTGTGTTTGTTGCGTGTTGAGTTGGTGTTCTTTTCTGGGTCTCTTATCAATATCATTTGCTTCTTGATTTTTTATCTCTTCCTCAGTTTGGACAGCCCAGCTAGTTGTGTTCTCAGTATATTCAGGTTTTTTTTAGATCCTTGGTGTCTGTTTTTTGGACGTTCTGTGGGCTGGAACTTGATAGGATAGTAGATACATTGTTTTCTTTATCTTCTACCAAGCAGAAGATTTTGTCTTTGTTTACAGTTTCTGCCTTGGTTGAAAGTCTGGCCTTTTTACTTTTTGGTTGTTTCCTTTTGTAGGTTTGGAAGAGAACTGTTGAGTTTTGTTTATGAATTTTTATTTTTCTATAAATTCTGGTATTAAACCGGAAAGAGTTTTTCAATTCTAATATTTAATACTATTGTATAATTATATTACTTAGAAAGATTTTTTTTATAAATAAAGAAATTTTTTTTATTTCTATAATTTTAATTGCTTAAATTAGAAACACAATGTACAAAAAAAAAAGGCAAAAGAACTAGTTCTAATATCTTCTTAAACTTTAATACTTTGCAATATTTTAAAGAATGTAGATTATTAACTGCATTTGCTTCAGAATCATTATCTGCATTAACATTGTCCACAGCTACATCGGTATCAACATCATTTGTATCAACATCATCCACATTAGCTTTACTAAAAACTGTCGCATTACAAAATAAAAAAAGAAAAGATAATATTCCAAAGGAAGTAAGTTATTTTTATTTTATTTTTTATTATTATTTTTTTTTTTTTAAATTGTCAACGGGTCTGGCCATGACTCATCTTATTTATTAATATTTATAATAGATAAAAGTCCGGCACTACTCGGTTTCATATTGTGGTGTGAAAACTTAACTCAGGCCTAAGTTGCGACTCTGCCCTACCAAATCACAGATGACTGGAATTATTCAAAAAAAAAATTCTATAAAAAATGAAAACAAACTATGACTAAAAAGGGAAAATAAAAAAAAGAAGGAAAAGGGAAAGAGCGAAGTAAATAAAAAATAAAAAAACCCAAAAAAGAAAAAACAGGAAAAAATAAAAAAAAAATTTATAGAACAAGGATAACAAGTTAAGAGAGATTGCACTTTTCTTTATAACAAGGATACACTATTATAACCTGTGCAAGGCTGAAAAAATTATATAACAAATGCAACGATTGTATATCTCTAGTATAAAGCTTTGCCTTAACATTAAAAGTTCTTCTGACTTATAACCACTTTTGGATATCTCTTAACCGGAGGCCCCAATCTGACTTCCCCAGAGTAGTGCCGTATTTATAAACAGACACGTCACATAGTTGCATTCTACTGAGTCTTTCCGAATTTGGAAAGTAAACATTGCTGATCTTTTGGAGGGAGTAAGCCAAATCTCCACTTTTTGTAAAAAATTTTGGAAGACTAATAGGAGGGCGAGAAAAAGAAAGAGAAGAGTCACCAAACCCAAAAAAAAAAGTGCGGCTTTAGAAAAGAAAAAGTTTTGTTGTTTCTCTGTGTTCTTCTTTGAAGTAACGATCTAGAAACTTCATCGACGAAGTTGAGCTTTTTGCCTACACTCTACCAAGATTTTATATACAAGGGCACCTCTTTCCAGTTATCTTGTATATTAACGCTCCTGGCTTGCATGCCAAATGTCTTTTTAGAGAAGTCCCAAAAGGCTAATAACGTTGACCTCTAGACAAACCGCAACATAGGCCACGACTTTCCAACAAAAAATTTGGTTTTCTATTAGTGGGAAAATTTGGTTTTAGTAATCATCAGAAAGAGTTTGTTTATTTTTTATTATTATTCTATCTCTTATTAAATTATATTATGTAATTTTATAAACTTTTTTATAAATTAGCCGCAAGTTATTATTCCAAATGAAGTAAGTTATTTTATTATTATTAGTATTTTATTACTTATTAAATTACCTAATATAATTTTTTTTAACTTTTTATACTTAGCTACAAGTTATTATTGAATCTACACCATTGACTACTTCTACTACTAGAAAGACTGCTGTTTCTGAAATTTCAAGTTTGTAAAATAGTGTTTTCAGTCTTTTTTTTTTTTTTAATCTATTACTTTATTTTTATTTAATAGCTCGAACTACCATCGATCCACATATTATGAACAAGGTTCTAAGTGCTGTACAAGATAACTTTGCAAAACTTGATCAGCTTTCCAAACACTGTGCCAAGCTTAAATATTTGATTAGAGAACAACAAAAACAGCTTGAAGAGGTTTCAAAAAAATTTAACGAAACTGATGAATTAGAACCAAAAAAAGGCAACAGAAAAAGCCTTCAAAAAATATAGAGAATATATGTTTTCAAGTATATATACCAATACATATTTATTTATCCTTTAATTTGTATTGCAGGCAAATTTGTTTGCAAACTTTTTTAAAAGTTTAATTTTTTTAATAAAATCTTAAATATCGATTTTGGCTATATATTTTCTAAGTAAAATATTTAATTTTAGATTTGTTTTATAAACTTTGTTAAAAAATTTTTTTAAAATTACTAAAAAACTTTAGTATAATAAAAGTTCAAAGTTCTTGTATTAGAATTTTTACTATAAAATTTTTTCTT